AAGTCCTCAAAGAGTCTAAAGAAAAGTCCTCCTTAAGTGGAAAATATACTCTTTTGTTAGCCCTGAAATTAAATGCTGCCTTGGATTTAGAGGAAGGAAGAGACAGTGAAAAGGAAAAACTTGTCAAGAAAAGCCTTTGTTCACTCAGACATCTTTAAAACTACATTGCACTTCTTCATCACTTCACAGTATTTGTACTTTGGATTTGACACTTCTTGGAGAAAAAGGACAATAATTTGCACATGGACAATGATTACAGAGAAAAGCAAAATTAAGAACACTAAAAAAAACTTTGAAACGGCAAATGCTGAGATTTCTCATACCAGGGAACAAGTAAGTGAACTAGACTCTGTTTTGAAAATAACAGCTTTCTACCATTTTAAAAAAATAGTAATCACATTTAGTATTTTAGAAATAAATTCTATAGAATATATTCTCTGAGTTACTTCTAAATTTTCAAAGTATTTTACATCAACTGTCATGCAACCGTAATAAAGCAGATGATAGAATTACTCTTTAGTCTCAGCGGGAAAGCATAACACCCACAAATGCTTAAGGATTTTCTGTATCATCCTCTTCTGTTCCTGACCGTTTCAGGAAATAAAACTGGCACAATGAACATCAGTTTATAAACTCACGAGCTGTAACAGTGCCCTTATTTAACAAATGCCTTTTAAAAGGGTATCATGAGTCTGTCTTGCTTTATGTTTGAGTAGGAACACCTGCGTTGCTGCAGGAGCAGCCTAGACAAGGAGTTTCAACTGAAAGAATTCAGCTGGCAAAAGAAGACAACATGCAGAGGAGCAAGACTGCTTGTTGCTGCCAAGTATGGTGTTGCAGGAAAACTACAATCTTGCTGCTCAAATGTTAAGCACTAGACAGGTAAATGTTGTATATTCAACACAGCTTTTAGTCTAATTTTTCACTGTGAAATTTACTTTTTGACTTCTGCTCATTAATCCAGTCTAAGGAAAGGAGAGCTCATTTCAGCTGTTTTTCATGTTAGTGAAAAACTTCTGGTCACTTCTCAGCTGGGCTGGGCTTAACTTGGAAAATGGCATAGTCTGCAGTACAAAAATTTAGTTATGATGCCAAAACATGAGAATAAAATGGTATTTTACCTGTTCTACAGAATTATGTTTTATCACAGTATCTCCAAGTACATTGCAAACCAGAGCACAGAAAACAAGATGACACAAGACAAAGGCAAAGTCTCCTCTGTCTGAGCCCAGTACTATCTAGTGTATTACATTTCTGTCAGGAACACCTGAACTAATAAAACCCTTTATACATGCTCAGTTTTGCATACAAATATATGTATACGATCTTTAACAAAGCAGCTGTGTTTGTGAAGGTACTGCCTGGGAGGCAGGGAAAGCAGCATGATCAGTTTATTAGCAGATTTACTGAAATAAAACAGCCAGATCAGGTTAGAAATCGGATCTGGCCTGGGATCAGTCAGCAATCTAGTGAGTAACAGCACCATTAATACCACACAGGAGTCCTGCAGCACTTGGACCAAGGGCAGGATCCCACTGTTAACAGAGCAGGGGAGCAGCTGAACCTTATCTATAGCAAGTGATAGTTACTATGGAGTGGAACCAATGGCCTTAAAATAAACAAATGTCAACTCCAATTATCAGTCACCAGCAGGAACTTATGTAAATGAAAAATTGTAAAGCTTTACAAATCTAAAATTTTCTGATCTAAGTGGCATACGGCTCAACAAAGAATATTAGAAGCTCCTACTGACCAGCTTTTAATTTTAAGGATGTTTCAATGGACATGAGTTATAGCTCTTAAGCAACAATTGCAATTGATGTAATCGTGCCAATGAAATTCTAATTTCATGTCTAACATCAATTAAAGCTTTATATATATTTAACAATGCACCTTTTTCCAAGAGAGGTGAAGTTCACCTTATAGGCAAAAGGGCATCTGCTTTTAGGTGGTGTTCCAGTAATGGTCTCTGTGAAAATTCCAGTTTGTTTCAAAAAAGGGAAATGCCTTTGTTATTACTCATTTTTGTGAACGATGCAATATAATCACAAACATATACCGGGCTTCTTAGGAGTGTTTATCAGTAGCCAGATATCTTGGAACTGAAGCTGATAAAGACTACGAGTAATATAGCTATTTTCACAAATAATACACTATGTAGATACAGAAGCTGGTTATCATTTAGTAACATAATACTTTTATCACACAGAAACAGCCTACCCAAAATGAAAGGAGTGGTTATCAACATGAATATTAACCAGCTGGGAAATGGGACACAGCATGTTAATACATGTATATACTAGCCCAGAAAATAACACTAAAATATTTTCCATCCCATGACTTAAGCCTGCTTTTCCTTAAATGAAGAGTATGCTTTTTTGTTCTAAAAAATAAATCAAAGTTTAAACAAGTGATGGGAAACATGACTCTCGCCTGATTTCTACATGCTACTCTAGATCAGAAGTCTGTGCCAATGGAAGTAGTAAATAACCATCACCTCAATATTTAAAGCTAGCTGAGAAGTATTTTATAAAGTTGATCACTTACTGTGCTTGCTGATCTTATTAAAGATATTTTTCATGTGAAAGCACAGGAGCCAAGAAAATAATTTCTTATTGCTCAGTAAGGGCATGAATAACAAAGCAAAAGACTTAATTTAACTTTCCCCTGAGAGAAATACCCCAGTGAAGTGTGTGGTTCTCCAACACACTCTGAAGTTAGAGCCACTACTGATCCTCTACTGTCCCAGCTCAAGCAGAAAAGATTTGTGCTTTCAGTGCTGGTGTTAAGGGAGTGCCTAATTTAAGCCCGCTGTTAAAGCAAGACCCCTATATACACAGAGACTTGTTATAATTGCCCTTAGAATATTTTGAACAGAATAATTTCTTCTTAAGTGCAGAACTTTAAGGACTAGCACGTTTCTCTTAAAAAATCATGGGTATTTGCTGTATGGCATTGGAGAACACAGGCACTTACCTGGCTACTCAGCCTTAGAGGAAGAGACTAGAGCGGTCTGTGACTGCGAGGAACAGAGGCTGTGGAACTGCTGGGCCAGATAACCAACATGAGTGCGCTTTCCCAGGAGATGGAATGCGTTGCAAGTTTGGAATCCAATCCCTAGAGAACTAGACTTTTCAATGCAGTTCATATAAAACATGTAGGACTTCTTGTGGAAACAAGTAAATAAAAAATCCTTCCAGCTACTACATGGAGTAAAAATATTTTGCTAATTTAGCATAAATACGAGAAATCACTTTGCCCAGATTTCATATAAAAACAATTAAGTTAGCTCTTTTTTTTGAAAAGCGTATTTTACATCGACAGTTTTTCTACTGGAATACTGTACATGATGTTTTAAAGAGCTTCTAACCAGAAGAATCACTGTTACAGAGATAAAATTTACACTGTGTTTACATGCACACTGTTAACCATCTAGATTTGACACAGATAAAAACTAAGAGGCTGATCTGTATTTTGACAGACAAGACAGGCCTACATTTCAACTATTTGATGTATAATAAATGAAATCTCAGTATTAGAAGAATAAAAAGGCTGAAATAGATTTTGAAATCAAAATAAGGCAGTGCAGAATTACCAGTGCAGAGAAAAGCTGATTCCTATGCCTCCTTTTCTAGACAAAAGCAAGGTTGTTTAACAAATTAGTTTCATTCCCATTTCATTTAAAAACAAGTGGATCACAATGTAATGGATATCCATATGATGCACGTTTTTTTTGCTTGCAGACTTTTGTAGATACAAAATTTCTGAAGAAATTTTTCCTCACTGAATGGATTGTTTCCTAATAAGACCAAATGGTACTAAACTTGAGATACAATCAGAAGTCCACAAAAGCCAGTCTTGTATATCAGAAAAATTTAGGCAATCTAGACAGTTCCATATTTTTTTTTCCATGCTTTATTTAAACTTTGATCAGTAAGGCTCTGCTTTTATAAATTGCATACTGACATATTCATAAACTGGCTTGGGAGAAACGTACAGGTTTTGTTACAGTGGATTTTAAGCTCTTACATGGCCTCAGGGTCTGGAGCTATGGCATTTCTCCGAGGAGGTTCACAGTTCCCGCAGTTCGTACAGTACTGCAAAGTGGCACTAAAGTGCGTAAGGATCTGAATGGCGGCTGGGCTGAAGGTGCTGTGTGAGCTTAAGCTACTGCTTTGCCATTATATACAAGATCATTTTTCTTTGGGGAGGGGGTACTAGCTCTGGAATACCACTGATTTTAGTTTTAAATGGAGGATTGTCTACCTTTCTCTATTCTAGAAGATGTAAATGCCCCCTTTCTGACTCTTCTGTTTGTCAAGAACAGTAAAAGAGAAAAATAGTACACTCTAAAAATGTGTTTCAAGATGATTTATCAGAAATAGTATTAGGAAAAAATAAGGAAGAATACAAGGTACTCCAGATGAAAAGTGGACATGCTCTTCGTAAGTAACTATGGATCTTTTGCTCAAATGAACATGCTGTTCATTTTTATCAAAACATGAATCTTAAACTACCATAAATAAAATACAAACAGTACAGAACAATTAAAACTTTTTTTTTGTACAGTAGTTATTTTTACATTAAACTTACCATCTTTTTAGATATGTTGAAAATTAGGACTCTAAACATGATTATTTCAAAGTATCATTTTTAACAATCTTGCACAGGCCCGACAGTCAAAAACAGGAAGTTTTGATTCAGATAGCTTGGCAGGTTTCACATACGTTCATAGGTAGGCTACTTTGAAATATGTTGGGTGTGTTTTTTACTTATCTGTTTTATTTTTATCAAAAAAAAAGGCTTGATTATTTTTATTTATATCTTTACATGAACTGGTTTTGTGCAATACCACTGCCAGTGTAGCTTGAGAAAACAAAATGTGTCTGGAACATTGACTATAGTCCAAGTATTTTCTACCTCTTAAAAAAGTAAGTTTCTAGGAAAATCCAATGGGAGTGAATTTTAACACAGGAAGTCAGTCCTAGAACAATTTAATTTTAAACAGGCACCGTCTCTACCACTGGTGATTTGATGCACTCTTCGTGCAGTCTGCTCTTCTCTGGGAGGTTTAGTGAATTCTCAGCAGGGTGCTCCTGCACATGACCGTCACCATTCAAAGCTGAAACAAAGCCATCTTGAGAAGGACCTTTCAAGTATGAGTGAAATTCCACTGGTGGGTGACTTGGCCTATGCTCAGTGTATAAACTGTTACAGGGAGCACTGCCATCCCCTTCAGAAGATGAGCAGCAAACAATCACTGAGGGGTTTGCAGAAGGGTAATGAGGGCTGCTAAAAGTTTCCTCTGATGGCCGTGTGTAGTCAGCAAACTGTTCTGAAGTCATGTTGTAAGGCACCAGAGAAAGACTACCGTTCTTGACAGCATCTCTTTCTGAGTAAGTCTCACCGATCTGGTTAGCAGTGCCAGCAACGTGGTTCTCTATTTGGTAATACAGAGTTGAAGAGTTAGTATAGTATGAGGCATTTTTAGAGTGATTTTCATGCACAGCAGTTCCGTCAGAGTAGCAAAGGACAGAAGGAAGAGGCACCATATCAGCATGGGAGCTCATACTTTCTACAAAATCATCTGCTTTTTCTTCCTCCTCATCTTCCTCCTCATCTTCCTCTTCCTCTTCATCATCATCTGATTCACTAGGGGCTAAACTCTGAGTACTAGAATCTGTAACTCCACTACAAAAGCTACTCCCATCTTCCTCTTCCTCCTCTTCCCCTGGGCAGTCCAAGTCCTCAGCTGACTGGGAATGCATAACTGTAGCCGGGGGTTCAGTTTCAATCTCAAAATTTTCTGCAATCGAATATTCAGCTGGATGGGGTCCTGGACTCATGGAACTACTGTGTGCACTTATCTCAGTGTGACAGCCATTGAGTGCTGGAACTTGCTGCTCTCTATTTTTCTCCAATTCAAGTTTCATTATTGTGTGCAAGAAGTGAGTCCGTACACGGATAGGGTTAAATTCGATTCTACCTGCTGTATTGCTACACCCTTCTTTAGTGCAACCGCACGGAAAAGACATACGATCCACCTTTTAAAAAAGAGAATACAGATTAACAATAGGAAGCAAAAGCCTGGTGACACGACAGAGCCTAGACAGCCTAGAGAAATACAAAGGTGAAGTGGGATTCACCTTGAGAAGTGCTGGTAGAATAAGTCAAAGCTAGCAAACATTCAGGGAGTCAGCCCTGGAGTTTAGCAGCACTGAGAGAACAGTAAGGGGCCTGGACATGCTCCACTATTGCAAAGAAGGGAAAATTTATTCTGTTGTTCCATAGGTGAAAGTATGACACAGTGGAACAAAAAATAGGTAGCTTTTCAATTTCTTTATCTGCTTTAGCTTTACTTCATTTTGTGCTCAAATCCAGGCAAAAGCATTACCAGAAACACCTTAAAATCTGGTAAAAATAATGGAAACTAGCGACCCATTGAAACAAAATTAATGGTATACAAAAACCTTTAAAAAGTTACCAATGGGGACACCTGATCTCTGAAAACACAAACAAAAACTCAAGTGCATTTTCAAAGGTAATCCAGTCAATTCTACATGGAATACTGTAAGACCAGGCACAGAACTTCTACATCTAATATCTTAAACTTTTGAAAATGTGACTGAATCCATGCATTGGCAAGTTTGATTAGACAGCCTGAGGTCTGTGACTTTCACCTGCACTGTAACACCTAAACATCAAATATGTGCAGGAGAACCACACAGCACAATCCAGTACATCTTCCCCACGTGTGGAGATGAAAACAGGAACAGCAAAGAGACTACATTATTTAAAATAGCAGAGAAAGTTTAGCTTGGATTTATGAGATGATGAAAAATGCATTCAGGAAGAAAATTCAGCTGCACAACAGCAACTCAGCAGAACTAGCAGAAATGTATTTTAGAGAACATGTTGGGACATGTACAGCTGACACTATGCAAATGTACAATATGAAATACCTCTTCAGTCTGCAGAGGAAAAACCTGCTATATTAGCAGATACCTTTTTACTGCATACATGCAAATTTATCATGCACAGATTTTAAGTATCATGCATGTTACATAAAGGACAGCATCACAGAATGTATTTTATTGCTTCCCATGGAGTTTGGACTGTAATTCACATTTGGAGTGTCCGCTAATTGTTTCTAAAATAAAAGGTAATATCCCTTCTGAAAGCTGCAGGCTACTTATTCTTCTGTTGTCCACATGTGCCTATTTAGATAAAGACCTAAAAGGAGTATGAGGAGCAGAATACTTGTGTAAGAGCAAAAAAAAATACCCTAAGACATGTATGTGCCTAAAATCATACTGAAGATATTTTAGGACATTGTATTGACCGCCCACTATAAAACCTTAAGGCCTTAAAAAATAGGTTGGACATCCACAAGTGTTATTGTCTAATATTTAATTTCCAATAGTTATAACTTCAAGAACAGAAAAAGCACACATGTACACAGACACATAACCTTCCCCCTCCCCAGACAATTAAATAATGACAATAATGTAGACATTTACCTGACATTTTATGCCTGCAAGACTGCAGGTGCAAGTTTCTGGGTCACAGAACACACGGCAGTCACAGCCACAATCCTCTCTGGACAGGCGGATGGCTCGCAGCTCGTGTTTTTCTTCCACGTCAATCTTCTTCACTCCAGAAGCTCGCAGCAATGCCCGTCGCTTCTTTGTAGGCAGGGGTTGGAGAAAGAAGTACTCATCTACTTCAGTGTTGTCTAGATCAATATCATCATCAGAAATGTCATCCAGAGTCAGTGTATTGGCTTCCTCAGATTCCACCGTACCGTTCTTTGTCATCTGTTGCACAGAACAATTAACAATTAACGAAGTCCTTAAACGATGCTCACACGTACGTCATGTCATGGATGTCAGTATGTGAAATGCATTATCAATTGACAAAGCTGTATGTAAAAAAGCTGCATGACTGCCAGGAAGTTCCAGAAAATGACCACAGATAGGGTGACCAAGCATTTCTTTCCCATTTAGAATATGAATTAAAAATGTATATTTAATACCAAGTTTGTAATGAAGGTAAGAAATTAACTGTTCTTTATTTACCTAAATTTACTGTTTGCCATTAGCTACTAGATTTCATGCCTTTCTGAAATCTAGTCTTTTCTGTATTGTGTCACAAGATAATTTTTGAGACCTTAATTGATTCCTGTCTCTGAGCTCTCTGAAATTCTTAAATATCCCTTTTGAGATAGCAATGATACTACTGACATAGGTTCAGATCATGATGCATCGCAGGTTTGTAAAATGGTATATTTCATGTACTGCTCCATTTTCTGTTACACATGTCACATTACACTGGTAAAAGAGGGGGTAATAGCTCCCTGAACAGTTTTGCCTGGCCCTGGGACAATGGGAGATAATTTACACCAGGTATTTCAACGTATTAGTTCAGTAAGGTAGGAAAAGGAACATTAGAAATCATCCTTTTTCCTGTACATTACAGAGAGAGAGAGAGGGAGAGGTAAATCCACACAGGGATTAAATGCATCTTGAATTATCTGCCTGAAGCTAATATCTCACCATACACAAACTCAGCCTGAATATTTCAATCCAGAATGGCATTCTTGGTTATATCTTTTCATTTATGTTAGCAAGGTAAAACTAAATAGAGTGTATTTATATTTCTTTGATTTCTTTGCTTGTTTGTTTAATATATAATAGGGGAATGACCTACCCAAGAAATCTGATTTCTCTAGTTTTATATACACAAGGCTCAAACCACTCCTTAAGCAGATCACTGTTATTAAATCTAAGTTTGAAACTGTGGTGGGAGAAAAATTCTGATCCTGTAATTAATTTCCTATTTTATTCAATTACTGTTTAATAAAAATTAACTTTTAGGGCTCTTACTCTAAATGCTGTAACTGGTCAGCACACAAAGGCACCTACAGAACCATTCCAATCCTGTCACATATTTCTCCTCCTCCTGCAAATCTTAACTACTTTGCTCCACAGCAGTAGAGCGTTAGGGACTGGTCTCCAGGGATGTGCTGAATGCCATGTGCATCCCGCAGGCTGGAACATCAAACGTGTGCCACCAGCCAGCAGTTTGCCATTTCAAAGCACCTCAGCTCCTGACTCCTTTGCAGGATGATTTCCTTGTTGTCGCCTCTTAACTTTTTTTTCCCTCCTCCATTTTGCCACACAAAAAACAAATGAATTGATAAAAGGAAAGAGTCTAAAATTTCTCAAAAAAGTAACTGGGTAACTACAGAGGGAGGAAGACTATCAAAAACTACCAAGTACATTTTCCAGAACTTCAGGGGAACATTGAGCTCTCTTGATTGTCATAATATTGCTCATCTGAATTCAACTTGATAGTAGATGGGTAAACTTCCTCATAAATCTAAAGGTCAATGTCATAACCACAGAGCAAAGACCAATGAATATGCGAAGCCTCTGGGTGAAACTCAGTCCCACTCAGTAAAACAGGAAAAATGCAGGATGGACATCCCTGCCTTGCGGTGATTGGAAGTTATTCCTTACAACTTCCCACAAAGGGAACCTACTGCGCCCACAGACCAGGGAGCCTTAACACCACTGGTCTCATGCTAATCATGTTAATTTCAGGAGACATTATGAGTAAGCAAAAGAACTCTCTTAGGGAATTTTTTGTGCTTACTCATGTTCTCTCAAATGATTACCTTGTACCTTTCATTTGATAAGATGGCTTTTACATCCAGGATTTTCACACTCTGCTGCTAATAAGTGTTTTTGCTCCTGTCAGCACTGTTCACATAAAAGTGCTGGTACTAAATGGCCAAAGTGACTTGAAGATGATTTCACAGCCTTTATCTGCTTTTAGTTAGAGGCGTTTCTTATTTGGCCCTTTGCTTTTAGCAACAAAACCAACAAACAGTACCTAATACTATGGAAACTCAATTTCAATACATTCCTGTATTTTTATCTTTTTTTAAGAGGTTCTACAGGAGCAAATACTTTCTACTCACTGATTTGTATATTTTAATGCAATTAAAAAAAATTCCCAGAGAAACTGAAATTAAAAACCACACTGAAAATGTTACTTGCTATTTACAAATGGTTTTCAAATAGAAAAACTTCTGACTAAACTTCATTCTACACTATTTTCTCATTTTCTTCATTTTTCTGTGATGTACAGTAATTTTTTATGCAAATTCTGGTTAGCAGAACTATTATTAAATGAATAATAGTTCTGCTGACATAACTGCTGACACTGTCACCTTAGAATGCCACATTTCCTTTTTTATTCATTCAGAAACGATGTGAATGACCAAGCAGCTCTTCCATCCCTGTAATGAACAATCAGCAAGGCCCAGTTTTCTTAAGCAAACAAAACATGCTCGGTGCTTTACAGAGACTCCACTAATTCAGCAGGTCCTGGATTTTCTCTTCATGGTTGAAATTTTCTTTTTTCTTTTAAACCCAAGCACATAATCAGGGATGAAACTAAACAGAGGTTAATGGACTAGTTAAAACAGGAAGATTTTTGTTGCTTATGTTTTTATGCTCCAGATGAAATATTTCACTCTAGTAAAAGCTTTAACACCAGCAAAATGAAAATAAGGAATGCAAAAAACCTCTCCTTATTCACTGAATACTTACAAAGATTTTTTGCAGAAACTTAATAATATTAATAATCATCCACTCAAACAAATGACTGGGAAGATGGAAAAATATGTATTTGGAAAATGAGCAGAAAGTATGGTCTGTGTCCCCAGAACAGCCAGGGCAGAAGCAAAACAAGTTAATTAAGAAAGGAGATACATCCCAGGCAAGAGGAGGGTTAGGAAAGGATGAAGAGCCAAGCTCCAGTGCATAAAGACTAAAAGGCCTCATCTACTCTCTCAAGGTAAATAAGATCTGTGATTTTCCTTGATTTACTTTCTAGCTAAGAAAAGTGAAATATTTGTGTGCTTAACTATTCTTCACTCACTCCACTGGGGATTCCTCTCTTTGATCTGATTCCTGGAAGTCAGCCAAGGGATCTACAGCTAGTCATCTGTTATACAGCACAATTCACACTTGATGCTCTGGAACTCCTGTGATGTGAGATGTTAGAGGTATAACCTCTATCAAGGGATAAGTCAGTAACACTCTACTAGCCTTTGGTTTCCAACCTGTCCATATAGCTGTCTTTGATTTGCCTCCATCCTGAGTGGTTTTATGTTTGTTCTATGACAGTTCAAAGTTTATGACCTTATGAATTTATTTAATAATTTATTTAGCTATGAAAAAACCCCAAACAGTTAGGAGACTGAAAAAATTAATTACAAAAGTGAGGATCATGCACACTTCCTCAGGCCCTGAGACAAAGCATTCATAGCTCACTCTACGGAAAAAATGCTTAAAGGCATTTCTTAAACTTAGAGGGTGCCACTTTGTTCTGCACAACTATAGAAACAGAGATGTAGTATCACAAAAGAAGGGGATATGCAGCACAGAAGCTCAGTTACAGCTCTAAATATTGTTCATTTTTAATTACAGGATTCATCTGAAAAAGAGTCAAAAATATATGCAACACAATCCATGACACAAAAAAAACAGATGTTCTGCCACCAGTTTTAAAGCAGTAGAAGGAACACACTCCCTTTCCCGGTTCTCCTTTACTCAAATACAGAGTTTCTTTCCTATGTTGTATTCAAAAGCAGCTCTATTGGGAAGCTGGCCCCAGGAAGGTATCCTGGGGTGCATCAAGGAAGTGTGGCCAGCAGATTGAGGAAGGTGATCCTGCCCCTCTGCTTGGCCACATCTGGAGTATTGTGTTCAGTTCTGGTCTCCACAGTTCAAGAAAGACAAGGAGCTACTGGAGAGGGTCCAGTGGAGGCCACAAAGATGGTTTGGGGTCTGAAGCATCCCTCTTGTTAGGAGAGACTGCGGGAGCTGGGCCTGTTTAGTCTGGAGAAGACTGAAAGGGGGTCTCATTAATGCACATGAATATCTCAAAGGGGCTGCCAAGAGCTTGGTGTCAGACCCTTTTCAGTGGTGCCTAGCAGAGCAATGAGGAGCAATGCCTATAAACTAAACACAAGGAATTCTACCTCAACATGTGGAAGAACTTCTTTACATTGAGGGTGGCAGAGCGCTGGAACAGGCTGCCCAGGGAGGATGTGGAGCCTCCCTCTCTAGAGACATTCTAGAGACATTCAAAACCCACCTTGACACATGCCAATGTCACCTGCTCCAGGTGAACCTTGCCTTGGTGGGGGCTGTTGAGCAGATGATCTCCAGAAGTCCCTTCCAATCTGTGATCTTGTGAAAACTAGCCAGGATTTGTTCTGACTAGCTAAACTGATATAGCTGCTTAATTTATCTGACACATTTCTTCTTTAATGGACATTCTTTGGTTAAATAGTATAGACACACGATCACAAAAATTGGTATACTGAAAACAAAAACCCTTTAGTATCACTGTTTCTTATTTTTTCCCGAATTCACTCAAGTCAGCAAAGAAACTAAGCTCTTTCACTTTCTGTACCAATAATGCTACCATTCCTTTCTCTAATAGGCCATTGGGCTCAGAAGACTCATTCTCTTCCTGGCACTTCCAGACTTCTGCTGAACACCTTGTTCAGGGCTAACTCCCACCACTCTCTGCAGAAAACAGGGAGTAAAGAACAACCTCCCTGTAAGCACTTGGAGCAGCACAACAATGACAACTACAAGAGCACTTGGGTATAACCAAGCAAAAATGCATCTTCAGTAAAATTAGAAAACTCCAGGAAAACATCCATTTCAACTGAAAATGGAGCTCATAGAAGGTGATTGTTTTGTTTCACACACACACCTTGGGCCCCTATAGCTCTGACACTGTTCAGTTAAATTAGGGCAGAGATCAAAGTCTTAGACAAGCTTTACCTTTAACTTTAGAGAATTGAGTTTTTCCTCCCTTAGATGCTCTCTCAACATCTCTCGGTGGAGCCTCTCCTGTTCCATGGCAAACTCCCCCAGGGTATACTGGCGCACGCTGTTGTGGCGAGTGGACATTCCCAGCGTGCTTCCTCCTTGGCTGGGAACACTGGTGAAGCCTTGCCTTCTCGTGAAGTAATACACAGTAACACAGTTAAAGTGGACATTCTTTGTTCTCTTCCGCTTCTCTCTCTTCAGGATTGAAGACGCTGGAACAGAGGCAGATTTCAGTGTGAATGGTAACTTGCAGTCAGGTAGCACATGTGTTAAGATAAAGGGAACTGCACAAGTGACAATATCTGACTACACAGACACCACATTCCAAGGTGAGAATAATGAGTTAGAAATATTAACCTCATATGCAAACCTAAAAGCCACTACAAGCTGTTACAGCGATGAACACCATTGTCTACTTCAGAAGACAAATACTTGGCCAGGAAAGTTTTTCCTTCCCATTACATCATGAAAATGTTTTATCCTTTTACCAAGAAAGCAACCAAATCCCAGCAAAAGAAACCATTTTCAGTGTCACCACCCAGAAGGTGATCCACTGACTTGCACCTCTTCCAAACCCTGTGAACAAAGTTGCACAAGGCAGCAGAAATCCACATTGCTACAGCACTGGGTCACCCTGACAGAAAAGATTAGTATATCCTACTATCTAATTTGTGATAAATTTATGTTGGAAAGTCCATAAAAGCAGTATGTTTAGTGTTTCATACTGTCTCAAAATTCATACCATCATCATCACCACTGAATGATATAGAAATAATTCTGACTAGCAGTCAGACCCACTTTGTTTTTCTTTACCTTCATCTGACTTTCTGCGGCCATCCACTGAATATGTGTGTGTGTATAGTCTAATTTTGACAAAAAATTAAATCTAGTATTTTCCAACTCTTTTCTGATTCTACTCATACCTGTGCTCAGGTTTTTTAATGAACATACGCAGCAACATATGAAACTTGTTTAAAAAAATGCCAGATTTTAACTATTAAATATCCTTCTTCTTTTGGGTCTACAGACACTTAGAAACTCCTTCCCATAATACTGATCTATTGTTTCTCACTGATAATAGCTGCATGCCTTTAGAGGAAATAAAAAAAGACACACAAACCTTAGAGAAAGGTAAGGGACACTCCTTGATTTTTAAGATGAGCAGTCCGATTTATTTGATTTGTTGCAAAATAGCAACAGGCTGTTGAGAATGCAGCTTGTAAGTCATTGCTTTGCAGTTTATAGGCAACAACTGCAGGTGTGTGCGGGTATGAATGAGAGACCTCATTGCCAGAATTCAGGCAGTAAAATGATTTAAAGGGTGCCTGACCACTCTTGAATGGCTTGGAATCATTCTATAAAAGCAGGAAGAGCAACAAGATGTACACTGATAATCTAGAATTCCATCATTTCTAGAGATGGGACACATTTGGCCTTCAGGCCTGGTTTATTGTCACAGGTAAAACATAGTTCAGTCTCTATTACTGTTATGTTGTGAAATGTTAATCACCACAAAAATAAATCCACAAATTTCTGCATTAAGTAAAACTGTCAAAATACCCAGCATCATCTACCAAACTGTGGGAAAACCAAGTATATTAGAAAATAAAGCCCTGTATCCAAATTACAGACAGTGTGTCCTACAGACATTATCACAGAATTTTGTGGCTCACTGAAACAGGATTACTTTTCCTAAATACTAACAAGCTGCTAGAAGTATGGTAAAGTATATGGTTTGCTATTTAAATAACAGGCACTTAGACCTCCTGCAGGTATGCTGGATTGTAAATATAAAACAGATAAATATGATCTGGTCCTGTTACTCACATGCTGCTAGTAAAGCATGTTACAAAAAAAGCTGTAGCATGTACAAAGGGAAATCAAAAGACAAATTCTGTTACATTAGGCATGTTTAATTTACATCCAAGTTGAAACAAATCTCATATCAACAAAGCTTGTCAAAAATATTTATAGGAAGCCTTTAGTGAGCGAAGAGGGTATTTCATTAGCAGACTAGTTGATAGGGATGTGTCAATTTTGAATTACATTAAATACGGTTTTAACATGCTGATTTTTTTCATATATACCACAGTTCCAAAGCAAAACTACCTTTAATAAGATCAGTTTTTTAGCATTCGTAAGATGGGTAATTTTCATACTGAGCCATTCTCTTTCAATGTAACATAAAAGCAAATACTCTAAATCAGAACCTGCACTGCCAATATGCTCTAATACATAAGAGAGTGCATATTTAAAAAAAACCCTTTTTTTGCTGAATGAGGTATCTAAACCATTCTGGGGTGTATACAATTTCTGATATCAGTATCAATGCTATTTGGATCTCAACTGGATGATGCCACTATTTCAGAATACTGGCAGCTACTGAAAGGCAGGCAGCTTTTTTGCCAAATAAATGAACCAGTCACAAATGAAATATAAAACTATTGCAAAATACTCAAGGAAAGAAAAGGAAACCTGCTCTTGAAAAAAAAAATATATACACATATATTTAATGAAGAAATTGAAGGTAACTGCACCTGTAAATCTCACAAGTTAGAGCATCACACAAACCTTTGAATCCTCATCTGTAAACCTGAGTACCTGTGACACAAGGTCTGTGTTGATAGTAATCTGGTTTAGATCTTAGCTGTGGAACTCCTGACAGGGCTGCTTTACTGGCAGGAATGACAAATACTGCAACAAAACCACTTCTCTTTTTTCAAGTCTCAATCTCTTTACGGTAGAGATACTACTTTAATACTAATGGCTAAACATAAATAATGACCCTTAGGTTTCATTCACACACTACACACTAACAGTAGCTAAATGAAGCTAAGCAGAAGAGTCTGTAATCTAGTTACCCCCAGATGGAAAAAAGAGTCATCTCTGATAAAAACAATATACCATGAATGAGCTTTTACACTATGCTGCCTTGATGTGAGCTCCAAAATACTATTAAACTTTGAATTGAAAAACAACTGATTTGAACCCTTTGCTTCAAACCAACCAAAACAGAACTACCATCTTATCAAGAGTCTGGGGCATTTGTTATTTTGCATGCACTGTACCTTACACAGTATGTTAAATCTGCTGGAATCACTGCTACAGGCGCTGTTTAACTCAAGACAGAGCAGAAAACCACACAAAATACATATGTTCTGATCTGTTAGAAAGCATGAATATACCCCAGCAAAATTTAATGAAAATCTGAAAAGTTCAGGTTTTATCATACTTAGTCATCATTTATTTCTTATATCTTGGTAACAGATGTCATCATTGGCCCATCCAACTCCCAAATCCCATGAATAGTAGTTTTCTAAAGGGAAAAAATCAGTATTTCCACTAGCAATCCAACCTATGCTTAAAAGAATCACCCAAGTTTGATTTGTATAGGAATAAATTATAACTGATGCAATAGGTAAGCAAGAGCAGTAATATGCTGGCAGACTGAAGCAAAGCTTTCCTGATTTGCTCTCATATGTCCAAGGCACTATGCAGCAGCACTGTCCATTTGCCTTTCAACATCCTAATTTTCCAAGCTGGGCGCTGGAGCTATAGCAGTGTGAAACCTGTGGAAGATGCAGCCCCTCCTTCTGAAAAAGAATCCAAACCTCCCCCTAAGAAAATCACCCGCTGAAGCTGTGTTCATCCATCAAATGCAAAATCTGCTTCCTATTTTTATACAATCCTGATAGGAAAGACATTTTAAGCTCATCATGTTTTTCTAACATTTTTTACCCAGAAAAGTGGTAGTTCTTTGATTACGAAACTTAAATGATCTCAGTTCTGGCTGAACTCCAAGACATAAGCACTTTCTTCTGCTGTCTCAGCTATTCTCCTGATGTCAAAGACACATGAAAATAAATGTGAACCATATGGCTCCCCAGCAGATTACTCACACTCCTGCATCAGTGAGGGCAAAGCAATGCATTGTCACCAGTGCAGAAATATCTTAGGCATGTGAAAATTTCAAAAGGCTGGAAAAAACATGTGTGAAGCAGCCTTTTGGATTAAAGCTCTATCTTAGACCAGTGCAAATGCAGCATTTCTGACACTCTACTACCAATCTGTCTGCTTTTTACATACTCAGTGTCATATAAACCATTATGGCAAGAAGGATAGCACCATTCTCCACTGCTCCATGACTTTCCATGCAGTGTTTCATCAAGTCTAACACCACAAAACAGCAAAACCTAACCCCTCCTGATAATCCAGGTCAGAACGCTGCCTATAAAAGCCACCTTGCTTCCCAACCCTCACAGAAAACAAAACCCAGGAAAAGGTTGTATCCAGAAATTGCTTCTACCTCTTTCTCTTACCTCTCCTTCTATCCCATTATCTTACAAAAGGTATTTTCTAAGAGTCTCCATACACTCAACCTACAAATTTCCAACCCTGAATGATAAAACACTTTTCCTACATGCTGGAAATCTACACTAAGAGGAAATCCTGTGATATAAAATACACCATCCAAAAGAAACATGTAGTCTTGAGGACAAGGGAGGTATTTTCTAGAAGAAATGTGAATTTCAAAGTCTAGAAGGGAACTGCATACTCAGTTGTAAATGAGAGGAAATTTGAGAGAAGAGGGACAATGCTGTGGAACACCACCACCTACCTAGAGCACTTCACTGCTCTATCCTTCTAGTAGCCTCCTTTAGGGTAAAGCCAAAGCTAAATTCACCTCACAGGAGGAGCTGGATGGGAATGCTTCCCTAATACCAGATTTAAGTCATATTAGAACAGGTTTTTGAAAATTATTAGCTCACAGACAAGTCTGACATGAATACAGAGGATTTAATTTGTATTTAAGCATTTTACCTCACTGTCAAGTGATTTGTCTGAAATCATGCAGAAATGTTTAATTGTTAGGGCTCATACTAGAAGCTGGAACCTGACACTAAAATTTTAGTTGAAAGCTTTAAGTTACTTCCTCAGCACACTCCACCTCCAGAGTGTTTTTCTGTGACGTTCCTCATTCTAGTCCAGTTTCTCCCTTCTGCAAACACCATCAGCCTGTGGGGAGGAGTGGAGATGGTTAAGTGCTCTCTGCCTCACCATTTCCTCTAAATACCAGCTGCTGTTCCATAGTTGATTATTCCTGACCTCGGCCCCAAGGTGAGGGGAAAGTCCTTCCAGGGATCCTGGTAGGAACACCCACCCATGCATAACAATTGCATTGCTGAGCTCTCTTAGGACAGTACAGGCAATC